GTTCAATGGTTGTCCACAAATAATGCAATCAAAGGGTCAGCAGGGACAGAGAGAAATCTCCTTTTGCTTTACTCATGATAGTCCATGAATGGTGGCCCACCATTGAGTTAAACTTGTGGATACATAGAGACACATAAGTATATAACACTAGGCATGCCACTAGTGGTCTTGAGAAACATCCCATCTCTATAGTAAATGTTATATCTATTGGTATATGGTTCAGGTTTAAGTAACAGAACACCTGATCAGGCAGAACATGCCACAGACTGGGATCCTATGAGTAGTGATAAAAGAGGGTCCCTGAAAAGAAAACAAAAATGAAATGTTGTGTAAAGACATATCCAAGTCAAAGGCAAATGGACATGTTTAGAACTGTCACGGGAGGGAGAAGATATCCACCTGAGAAAGATACAGCCAGATAGTGCAGGTAATGAGTGATGAAGGAAGAGAAAGTAGTTCACACTCCGGCCTGAGTAATTTCTTCCAATGGATGGCAAAGACAAGCAGCCAAAGACATGGTGATATGACAAATATGGTGAAAAGAAACATTGAGGAGACAGTGACCATCCATGGATAAGTCTCAATTCGCCAGCCTAAGGAGTTAACAAACCCAACCAGTTAGTGTGACAGGGGATAGATCATGGGAAATGAAAGGGTTCCAGGAAATAAAGGGTCGGGAACATGGACCCTAAAAGAAAGTAGTACATGCAACCTAAAACTGATCGAGATTGGAATGGGAGATGGAAGGAAAAGAAATGGGTGTGAAAGCCAAATGGCATTCCCAGAAGGGAGGAAGGACCAGTCTGGATATATGATGACATAAGAAGAATGGTAGAGGATTGTGTTAATATTTAAAGTATAAAAATCTGATCGATCACAAGGTTCTTACCATATAACTATAAAGTGGTCTAAGAGAAATATACCTACATTACAATTGTTGTTCTGCAGTAAGAAAAAAACATGTAAACATAGAAAATATGGACTTTTGGAGCAGCAAAGACACAAGTATATGACACATTCACTTTTACTAAACTAATGGCCCAATTACATAACCTGAGACTATTCACGCATACCTGTACATGAGATAAACAAAATAATCTGGAATACAAATTCAGAGTTGTAGAACAATATTGAAACCCAGGTAACTTTTATGAGGGAGAAAGAACTATGAAAGGAAATTGAAACTGAAAATATGATATGTGCAACATGAAACATTTTATATGAATAATTGTACATTTTATATGTTGTTAACAGCATTGTACTTAAATTAAGCATGTAGATTATACCACTGAATGCATACAAATATAGTAAAAAACACTTGAAATCGTTCTTGACCAAAAGAATGACTCCATAACCCACACATACAACCTATGGGCTGTTAATTATGTCAACAGTTATCAAAATCCAGGATGCCAACCTCGACCTTCACTATGCCATATTTGCCTTCACCTGCTCTCAGAGACAAATTGAAATCAAGACTAATGTACTAATACAGTTACTAAAAAGCATGAGCAGTGCAAAGGGGGATACTAATATCCCTGAACATCCCAGTGGAGGAAAATTTCTTTCCATTTAAAACTAAACACCTGCCACAAATAAAATTAATACAAAAACAACATAAGTAGTGTATGTTATTTGTCATGGACCTGATTATCTTTGTCTACTGCTACTACTGTGATATAGAACACGACATAAGAATGATGACACAGTAATCATACGAATGTTAAGAAGAGAAAACACAGCATTTGTTGTTTTATCAGAAACTGCAGGATAATATGACATGTTTATAGTTCATACACATAATGATTTCCTGTCCAATGTACTCAACTGGCAAAGAGAATCATAGACGTCTCAATGTGTAACCTTCTTTGAAGATTTCTCGGATCAGCAATATTTATAATATCTGTTATGTATTAATATTCATATATCCAGATTTTTTATTGAACATGACATGTGACATATGTTCCTATGGATGTAACATTCTGATCTGTACCTTATCAATATCAGAACAGTATCTGAATTCTTAAAACTTAGAGAGATGATATTGGATGCGTCACTGGCTTTGAAGATAGATAGTAAGGAATTTTAACTAATGCTTGATAGATATTTCATATAACTTGTTTCATTATTTCTTGCAACAGTACTTGCCCTGTATTATAAACTAGTTCCATAGTTTTCACCTCATTATTTTCACTCTGAATCTTTTCATCTTGTACTCTGATGTGTAGGAATGATCTGAAGTTAACATAAATTTCAAACCACAACTTAGATAAGTTCTTGCTACATTGAGTTGTACGTATAGATAAATATAGCCAAATGTTATGTCCCAGAACAGTTTAGGAATGTACACAAAGCATCCAACCCTTGTAGCATCATGTAACCATTCTTATGTAAAAGCTTTCCCATCATATATTACATAAATGTCAATAGTTTCATGTAACCATTCTTATGTAAAAGCTTTCCCATTATATATTACATAAATGTCAATAGTTTCATGTAACCATTCTTATGTAAAAGCTTTCCCATCATATATTACATAAATGTCAATAGTTTCATGTAACCATTCTTATGTAAAAGCTTTCCCATCATATATTACATAAATGTCAATAGTTTCATGTAACCATTCTTATGTAAAAGCTTTTCCATCATATATTACATAAATTTCAATAGTTACTAGAGGTAATAATACCTATTAAATTAAGGAAGGTTGTTTAGTTACATTTTTATTAAAAAATGCCAGGAATGATACATACTGAACAGAATAATATTGAATATACTGTGCCACAAAAAGCCATGCATAGATATGTTATGTCACAGAAGGCATGTATCTTGCAACAATATGTGATAACTGATAAATGTAAAAATGGTAAAATGTATGAATTACAGCTTCTAAAAAGTAATGTTTATAACCAATATCAACCTAAAATTTTCACTTGAGAGTAGTCATATGTCCAAAAATACATAAATAAGGTACAACATTATTGTTATCTATTTTGACTGTTTTCTTAATGTAACATCAATCATTTCTATATATATCTATGCAAAGGATCTAGATCACCACTTCATGCAGTTAATTATCATTTACTGTACTCTAATTGGCCCTATAGTTTTGCTGCTTTTTCATTTAAATAAAGTCTTAGACATTCATTTTCTCATGGGTCATTTGGCAGAGGATTGGGAGAGGTTTTATTGACTATAGTTTATTACTTTCTTGAAATGTAGAGACTGAACTGTGGGAGGGAACTAAACTGTATGTTTCTTCTTTGTGAACTTTGAACTAATTCCGTTGAGCAAGGTGCAAGTATCATTTATTTCAAAGTATGTTTATGTACAACACTATGCAGTTGTTGTGTGATACATTGTCTATGCTCTGCAGTGGCATCTGTTAGAAATGCCTACAGGAGGAAAAGGAAACATGTAATAGACTACATACCTGATTAATCAGCTGTAAAAAAAAAGGTAAAGAGTGTTACAGATCAAAATAAGAAGATGCTGGAAAAAGTAAAAACAATTTTCTTCTGAATTGTATTCATCCTCAGAAACATTGTCAGGTAGAAAATGAGAAGAAATTGCTGACCGAACATAGGAATCTAACTTCCTGTGAATTAAGGCCTGTAACCTCCTTGTTATACAAAGTCAAACCCGATGCCTCATTAGTTCTACTGATAGCATTGTCTACCGTACTGGGACTTTCCGTTGTAGATACATTGAATTGCGAAATCATTCTAAGTTACTATATAATTGAATGCAAACACAGTAAAAGAAAACTGTTGAAAAAGGTATTGAATTGTCAATGAAGTACAATTGTAAATGGTATTCATCTACAAAAAAGTCTAAACAAAGCTGTGCCAATCAAGAAAATGAGAACTGAGTGGAAACTAGCTGCACCAATACTATTGGTAGAGGTTGGTCACATGCTATATACATGTTCAAAATTGGTGAGAAAATTGTGGGGTTTGTTGACCGGTGCACTGAGTGTTAAAATGTTTTAGGAATGCTTAGGGGCAGAAAGAAGATCGAGATAGCTTTGTGTGAGTTAAGGTAAGAATGTATCAGAAATGTTATTACCCTTATTGGTGATAGTAACAAGTTTTCATTATTCAGTTATCAATGTATTTGATTTACATAAGATCAGTAGGATATTAATACATATTTAAAAAACAAAACTGATGGAGACCATGTAGTGGTATTTATTCAACATTAGCAATTCAATAGCTAAGTAAGCAATGTCCTGATTATTTTTGCAAAAAAAATAAGTAGTAAAATATTTTTCTAGCCAAAAAATGTTTTTTTGCAAAATCTACAAATGGTGACTTCCAGAATAAGTATATCATATGAAATCAAAGGAAATTTTTAAAGTAATTGAAAAAATAGGAAGTTTAACACCTAGTTAAAATGATGCAATGGTTGAAAAAGTTATGCAGCTAACATACACATCCATTTCTATGTATCACTAATTGCCCAGTTCCAGTTTTAACCCTCAATGGAAATAACACAGTCCATTTTGTGTAATAGTTGAAAAATACATTTATGCAACAATATTCTTCAGATACTTGTGGTAAGGAATCCACAAAAATACTTACCAACATACTCTATAGAATGCCTACTATTATGTAATCAAATGTGTTATACAGTAGGATTATCGATAGAGAAACTTGCATAATGGCAAAGTAAATAGATATGTTATGTAGTAGTTTTGGTTGTGTTATATATCATAAGTTGACCACAGAACTCAAAGTTATGTTTCAAATCATGTCATGTGTTACAAATGTTTGTATTTCAGATTTGGTGACATTTAAGAGTTATTAATGCTTACTTATAAAAATATAAAGTTAGCATAATATCATATAGCAGCAGTGACAGGGATATCATAATACAAATTTCTGAAAAAATTACAAAATACTCTAAACATCATAAAAGGGAAAATGTTTTCACAATTATTCAGAACAGTTATAATAAATGGTCTTGAAATTACTGATAAAATATTCAGACACACATACCTCTCAGTGGTGCCATCTAACCCGAAGAGAAGTTTCAGTGCCACAATCACATAGCTAATAGAACGAGCCTCAAATGGAGGAATCGATAAGCTTTCAGAATTATTCTTTTCATCCTCTTTTACTTTTTGTCCAACATTATTGAAATTCCATTCATTGGTTGGTGGAAAAATGTCTATTAGAGATTTTACTAAAGATAGTATCTCTGCTGTAAAATGAAACAAATAATTCATTGCATCAGAATACTAATAAAGGTAAGTCTATCAGTCTTACCATTTTTTAATGTCCATTTAAAAGTACTTGAGACAGCTATCAACGTTAAATGATAATGGAAGTATTATGAATTTATCAAACTGGTATGTATAGCTGCTTTTTATCAAAACAATCATTAGTACATAATCAATAGAACAATAGAAGCATTTTCACATAATGGCCCAAGTATGTACGCTTCTTAGTCTAAGGTTGTAGTATTGTTACAAACAAGTTTTATTATGTATCTCTTTAATTGAAATCATTACAAAAGGAAAAATCTGGTAGAAAAAATTAAGAACTTATTACATATAATAAGTAACTTTTGGCTTATCATAGTTAGTAGTCTACATGATCAGCTGAGTCAAATTATTAACTAATTACTAATATTTTATTTTATTCAGTTATTAGATACTAATTACAACCTAAGTTTTATATACTGATGTACCTTTATACTCCTTTGTCAAGTGTATAAGACATAATGTTGTGGGGAAATAAGAGATAATAAACTGGAAATTTACTTTTTTTTTTCAAAAATATATACTTAACTATACTAATCCATTAGATAATTTAAATAATGTGTAGTGAACAAAAGTTTTAGCTCCTGTCATAGATAGCTTTGGCATAATTTATATGTATTATTTCTACAACAGACAGTACTAAAGGCTGCACATTCATGTCTCAGCATTAATGAAATTTTAGACACATTATTCAGGTTTCAACATTCATGGATGTATACACACATTATTCAAGTCTCAACATTAATGGTTCTATAGACACATTATCCAGTTTTAAATATTAATGGATTTTTAGGCACAATATTCCATTCTCAACATTAATGGTTCTTCTGCACACTTGTAGTCCATTTCCTCCTTCGCAAAATGATTACAAGATTTAGCAACATTACTCTGTATTTCGTTTATGGCCCTTCTAATAATGGTAACAAACAAAGTACTGTTGGATCTGATCAATAACCTGTTACACATTCACACATTTGAATGACTGGATACTACAAGTTAACCTGTTCAAGTTTTACAGTGGAACTGAAATTCATTCAAAAATTTTGTTTTAAATTATGTAACTCTTCTCAAATGCTATATTAAATTCAAAAAGTTTAGTAATCAGATTACTTTTAAATTCTTCTTATATAAGTGACAGCCAGGCTACAGTATCCACTCAATATGTAATAAAGGAAACATACAAAATACCTATTTCAGTATCTACATCCATAATGGTAGACAAGACATAAGAATTATAGCTCTCTTACATGGTAGGTTCAGTTCCTTCAGGTGACGGGCAACAATTGGTTCCAACCGTTGAGGTGGAATTGTAGACACACCTAAGTAGTGTGCCAGCTTCCCTGTCTCTAGGTCAATATAACTTGGATTAGGTAATTCTTGCTGCAAAATAAAAGGAAATATGTTTACAAATTATTACTATTCATCAAACACTAAAATATCTCAGTAACAATTATTAGAATTTTGGTGCTTAGTTAATGACTGAAGGCTAGAAATCATTATAAAAATGACGAGAATAAAATCAAGAAAACTTTATGAATAACTAACATTTTGGCTTCCACTTTTCTCAAATGTTAAGTGTCTAATGGAGTAGTATCTACAGTTCAAAAGATACACTGCAGGGGTGGGAAATTTATATTGTCCGACACCTGAGGTGACAAGTTTTTACTGTTATACCTTATCTGTAAGACAAGTATTTTTTTTAATTAATCATTCTGAAATTATACTGTGCCATTCCAATAATAAGACTAAAAAAGCAGTGTTGCACTTGAAATATATATACCGCACAAGTAAAAATATGCAAAATATAAACAAATACACTCTCTATGTGGTAAATCGCAAATGTAAATACAATATTATAGGTAGTGCCTTTAAACACGATTTCTAAGAATCTGCAGTTTCAACCATAAAGCCTACTATTACACATATTGTATCAAAATAGTTCATTTCCAATTTAACATTATTCAGATTAATTAAGTTAACATGCAAACAGTAATGCACTACTTATAGTGCCTAATGCCTAACACCACACACATACATGGTGGTATAAGGGATAGTCAATATCTCAAAGCTATATCTTAAGCTCATGCATTGTTGAATATTTAGAAACAGTTAACCTGTTGCTGCAATACTATGTACACATTTCCATATATATTAATAAGTGTATTTATGACAATGTTGGATCCTTAAATGTTGTATCTATAACTAAGTTATTCAAATGCTTTGTAACCGACCAGGGGAAATTAATAATGACAACTCTTAAGCAACAGAAACAAGTAGTTTAGAATGCTGGATCCACGATGGAGAAGATAGAATGGAACTAACCATTTGATGCACAATGGCAGTAACATCACTGTCAATTGCCATTATAGTAGTGGCAGATGACTCCTATTGAGGAGTGACAGGACCTCAGGAGGTGTCAGAAACATGGATTCATAATCCAGAAACCATATACATTTTCTTTTTTTTTATTCTTGAAAGCAGGGGTTTCCAATTCATACTGCCTGATGGCCAGATGACTGGGACAATAAGATTTGTACCAGGGCAACATGTTTTCCATTTCACTTTGTCCATTGAATTTTATTTTTCATTTCTTTTTAATAAAACTTTAATATTACGGTGTCAAATATAACCAAACTTGCATTGTTGCACTATAATATATTCTGTGCAAGCATTAATACATAAAATACAAAATACACTGTAACAATAATAATTTGAGGAAAGCTCAGAAGTTTACTGTTCCTCCTGTGTGTTGAATGTGTTCTGTTTGCTGGTCAGATTTATGTACATTTATGTATATGGAAAGAAAGAGTGGAGCCATATGTTGGAGTGGCCACATTTCTGTGTGCGTTTAAATGTGACAAGCTGCAGAGAGTTTTGTTGAAGTTAATAAAGAGAAGATTTAAATGGTAATTCATTATTGCTAATACCATGAAGGATTGGTGCTACAATACCTTATATTAGGTAAATTACACTATAAAGTGATGCAGGGTCAATATGAGCTTTAGCCCGTTCACTACAGGCAGATTAAAAGTGTGCATGATTTTTTAAGTTACATTCAAAATTTAATCAAACTACTTTATTTTCAGTATGTATGAATAAACTTGACATTAAACATTAGTTAATAAATCACATTTTTAATCTGTTTTAATTTCTTAATTTTAAAAGGAGAAAGTTGATCTCTAGGTCTTACCCATTATCTAATTTATTTACCACCCTTCTCTGAAGTATTTCTTATAATATAGATATTACTAATGCAAAACTGAATTTTTAAACACTTCAATCTTCTTTGTTTAAAGAGACAAACTAGAAAGTCAGACCCACTTGACATGTCCACTTGTCACATCCTTTCTTTCACAAATTACCAACAGTTCTCTATGACGTTTTGTACTATATTATTTATAACCAATAGAAAGTCAAAGGTTTTAATCTATCAAATGATATCTTATATTACATTGGTTTCAGTACAGAGTATAGGCTATTTCATCTTCAGTTTGAAAGTTTCTCTTGTGGTGTTCAGATCAAGAAGCTTAGGAAAATATTTTAAGGCTTTTATGCCATAGTTAGAAAGCCAGTTAAATTATGATAGTTAAGGGACACTGTTTGCTTTGTGCATGTTAATATTTTGTGTTCTTAGATTGTGTGCTCACACTGTGAATACGAGGGTTTATTGTTTGCGTCCCATTGTCAAAAAATACGCTCCTCACTTTAGGGCCGTGAGTATGCTACAAGATTGACAGTCAAATCCTATTTTTTGATCAAACAAGAATGTCCCAAGAATTCTTAGTAGGTGCTGTTGACTAGCTGCCTTCCATCTAATCTATCAGTTCAAAATTAGGGACGACTATGTACAGATATTCAATGTCTAAATCTGCTCGATAATTCTAAATAAACAGTTCATCTTATCTCCTTGTCTCCTCACGTGAAGGTTTATCAGAAAATAATGCACCCCATAATCTTTGAAAATGTTACCTTCTACTTTACAAGTTTATTATAAAATATAAATATAAAATAAATAAAAATTATTTAACTTATTTATACCATCAGTATAAAAAACATATGCTTAAATTTCATTAGCATATAAAAAAAATACAAAAAAAGAGGTCAACAGTACTATATTTTCTATGTGTATTTTTTATTTATTGTTATAAAAGTACCTCAAATATAAAAATTAGAAAATTACTGGGTTAAATAAGGTAAGATAATGAAAAAAGAAAAACACTATAATTGACGTGGCATATATGTTAGTATCTATGTATGTAACAAAAACTCCTGTGCCATCTATTGAATAGCCACCACAAACAAAAATACATAGAAAATTTAAAACTTTGGGCATTCAAAATTCAGACAATTATAAAAATAACTGTGGCATGTTCAACAACCATATCTTTATAATAGAACACAATTTTGAATAAAAGTACTCTCCTCATAAGAAGAACACAACTTTTGCTAGGACTGTATATGAGGGTTTGATTATATCTTTATTGATGTAATTATTAAATGCAGTACTGAGAAACTTAAAAAAAATTATCTTTTCAATAAAAGGTAGCACTTTTAATACATAAAAATTTTACAGTTTATATCAGTGAAATTTATGAAAATTTTGAGCTCTGCACATTGAATAATTTTGGATACAATGAGTTGCATGTGGCAAAAGAGCACAATCCAAACACTTTTCACTGCACTAATAGAGCAATAGTCCATAGAAAATACAAAGAATTTATTTTTTTGGATGTTCATTTGGTGGGTTAACAAATCTTTAAATTCTGGATTAACTCTTTCAGCATGACCTCGTAACCATTTTGTGCTTGTTATAGTTTTCATGCTATAACTTTAAAAAACAAAACTTAACAGGTTATCAGTAAACATTACAATGCTTTCATATGCAAAATATAAAATTTTTAAATTAAGTCTTAAGGTTTATAAAGCAATGTTTTTCTCATGTCTATCTATTGTTTTTGCATGTTGCTTATCTATCATGCAAAATAATATTAATTTTAAGCCTAAAAATCTTAATGTTGAGTTTGTTTGTTTTGAATTTTGCTCAAAGCTACACGAGGGCTATCTGCACTAGCCATCCCTAATTTAGCAGTGTAAGACTAGAGGGAAGGCAACTAGTCATTACCACCCACTGCCAACTCCTGGGCTACTCTTTTACCAACGAATACTGGGATTGACCGTGACATTATAACGCCCCATGGCTGAAAGGACGAGCATGTTTGGTGTGACGGGGATTCGAACCCGTGACCCGCAGATTGCAAGTTGAGTACCCTAACCACCTGGCCATGCTGATCCCATTATAATGTTGAAATAGTTGTCAAATGTTTCTTGAGAAAAAACTTTATATTTTATCTTTTATATTCAGTAGTTAATCTCTGTACGAGTTAGGTAGATTTGATCGATCTCACAACCCCCATAAAAAATTAGGAAATTAATATAAATTATGCCTCTTTCATTCTAGAATGAACACACAAATTATAACATGAAAACATAAATGTTTAGACTAAATAGCTTAAATCTCATAACATTATACATTTATTATTTTTAGTATATTGAACTTTCAGCCATGCCTGGCTAACAATACAGAAGTTACAATGACGTGGCTCCAGTGCACTCATGTCATTGTATTAAATAACATTAAACTGACCTTTGGTCTGTTCAAAGTAACTTGTCTTGGCTGTGTTTTAGTAGACTAGTATTTTGTAAAATACAGTCATATTTCAATTATTATACATTATATATGTATATAGATTATTGCTATTTTGAAATAAGTTCTCAAACATATTTTTCTTAAAACATAGAATAGTAACTAAAGAAGTAAAGCAAACAATTATCTCTTCTAGTTATGACCTTTGTACTCAGCTGCTGCTTTACGTATTACATGAGTATTAAAGAGGCTCTTATATTATATTCTAGCTTGTCAATATTGGTAATCTGAGTTTCTAATTCAATCAAAACTATAGATTTAGTATTTTGACATAACAAACATCCAATCTGAACTAGTATTGCATTCAACATACCATGTGACACACAAAAACCGATCTTTAGCTATGTTTTTTTAATATTTACTTTTAAATTAAGAAATTAAATAATATATAATACTAAAATTTGAATTATAATCCACAGTTTGATATCAAACTTATTGACATAGATTCGCAAAATAGTAGTTCAATAAAATTTTGAATACGAGTCAACAAAAATGATGACATGGCCTTTCATTCGTGACCTGTCTTGAAAGGGTTAAATGCTTTATTTTGCAAGGAGAATTATTCTCAGATGTTCATTTGATGGATTAATTTAGTAAATTCCATTTTAGTTATTTTGTTTGTCCCTATGAGAACATTCCTTTGGCTAGTTTACAACATTTGGAAAATTTACTGCCAGCTGATAACTAAAAGAAAATATTAAAGATCTTTATTAATAATTTGCCTAGACTTATGATCTTACCAAATTTTACCTTGGTTTTGCAGAAAATTTAATGTTATTTATTAATTCTTGTAGCCAACTCTATGTGTTTGTTGCAGAAAAGAGTTAAAGTAAGACTGGAAATAAAAGTTTTATAAACACTATATATTAGGTTTAACATATTGTTTTCTTATTACATTTAACATTGTTATATTATTATGGTCAGTTCAGGTACTATTTTATTTATTATTTTCTATTTTCTTTAATATTAGTTTTTGGTTATTCTATGGAAAATTACTGCTAGTAATTGGTTTACTGTACTATATTATTTATTTATTGTTACTTTCATTAATAGTGTTGGTTATACTAGTTAGTATATCAAATGGCATTACTTTTTATTTTGACTTATTGTTTATGATCATATTTTTATTTTAAACATTGTTTGCATTGTTAGCTTCAAATCTGTATTTAGGACTAACCTAAATCTCCTAAGCTGGTTAAACTTCATGAGATATCATTTGGATTACAACCAAAAATATTGCTAACAGTCAGTGCCAGGTTTAGAGGGGGTGCACCCCCTACAATTGCATGGGGGCCTCTAGCGTCAAGGAGCCACAAACCCCCCAAAAAAGGGGACTTCAATTGTGAGCCACCCCAGGAAGGGGGCCTTCAGTATTGCATGGGAGCCTCAAAGGGTTTAAATCTAGCCTTGTTAACATTGAGGGTAACCAAGTGATGAAACAATGCATTCTATCTTTATAAGAATATACATTACAAAGGTATATTTAATTAGGTACAGTGATCACCAGGTTGATTTTAAACTTTGCTCTAAGTACATGGCTTACTCTTATCTTATTTATTATATTTTAAATAATACTATATTTTCCATAAATAGAAACTATTTCTTATAAACCATCAAATAATTTCAAGTAGGATCAACCAAATGAGAAATTATTAAATATATGACTCTAATGTGGTTCTATTTAGAATACAGTAAATGCTAAGAAGAATTTCATTCACTGAATCGGAAAACAAAATTATATGTAATAATCTATTTTTTAACACTCACAATCTGAAAATAAGGAATATCAGCAGCTTGGAGTTTCATGGATGGGGGAAGACAGTTGCCTGCATCAAAAAATGGTAGAACACCAGCTTTACACCATCTGTTAACAATATAAACATCTCAGAGAATCAAATCTTTTATAAAAATAATGTAGTAGTTCTAAAAATTATTCTGACAACTGAAACATTTCAAGTTTAAGACATCTTTAGTCATTTTAGTTTTTATACCAGAGAAAACACTTCAATGCGAAATGATACAAAAAAAAAAAGAAATTTTTATTATGATCATCTCTGTAACTTTTGCCTGAGTCTACTACCTTCCACAGTTTACTTTTTTCTTCTTTATATTATAGTTGTTTTACTGAACTAAAAATCAAATATGTTCAGTTACATAATAGATCATTAACATAATAAGCCTTGTTGAAAGACTTCTTTTTAAATAAAAACTAGTGGAGTAGTTGGAAGAGACCTGTGAAATACACCTGATTACTAATTGAGTGACAGTAGGTACATATAGGTATATACATGTTACAAAAACAGTTAAAGTAAGATGGGTGCTGAACATTTTTATACACTCAGTATTATGTTTAACATGTTGTTTTATTCGTATTACATTTAACATTGTTATACTAATATCATCAGTTCAGGTATTTTATTTATTTATTATTATGTATCTTAGTTGTATGTTAGTTTTGGTTGTTCTATGGAAAAAATAACTGCCAACAATTTCACATAAATGTTAAATAAAGACTGGTATAGTGGGTGGGTGGGTGTTTTTCTTATAGCAAAGCCACATTGAGTTATCTGCTGTGTCCGCCGTGGGGAATTGAATTCCTAATTTTAGCATTGTAAATCCAAAGACTGACCACTTTGCCAGAGGGGGACGTAGTGGTTGGGAGAGACCTCTGAAATACACCTGGTGACTAACTGAGTGACGGTATAAACACAAAGTATATATATATGTTACAGAAAACAGTTAAAAGTAAGACTGGTGGTAAAAGCTTTTAACTCTCGCACTACAGGCTCAGTCCCAGGGACTGACCTCGTAACCATTTTGTGCTTGTTATAGTTTTCATACTATAAATTTTAATACAGAATGCGTATATTCACAAAATTTTGCCAATTATCAGTAAATATTACAAGGGTTTTGTACATAAAATATCAGATTTATTTTTATTAAGTTTTAAGATTTTTTAAGAAACGATTTGCTTATGCATTGTTTCTTTTTGAATGTTGACTATCCAACATGCAAAGTAATTTTAGTTTTAAGATTAAAAATACTTTTATGCATCAGGGAATTGTCTAATTTTACATGTGAAATCTGTATAACCTCTAGATAATCAAAGTTTTTCTTGAAAAAAACATATTTTATCTGCTATTTTCACTATTGTATCTATGTATGGGTTTGGTCAATTCAACCAACCTCATAACCACCATAAAAAAAAAGGAAATAGATATAAATCATGTTTTTTTTGTTCTAAACTTACTTCAAATTATAACATGAAACCACAAATGTTTATTCTAATTAGCTTAAATATCCTAACATTTTACATATATAAAAATTTATTATTTTTATTTTATTGACCTTTCAGCAGTGTCTGACTAACATTACAGAAGTTGAATAATGCAGCACACAACTCATGTTACTGTATCCAATAATATAAAACTGGTCAAAGTGACCTGTCTTGGCTTTGTTCTAATGGACCAGTATTTTGTAAAATAAAGTCACATTTTGGTTATAATACATTACATATGTGTGTGAAAAAAAAAAATACATATACTATTATTATTTACAAATAAATTCTTAAATTTCAGTTATTTTTCCTCAAACATAGAACACTAAATAAAGAAATATAGAAAAGAATGTTCTCTACTACTTATGATTTTAAAGAAGTTTGTAGTTTGTACTCACTTGCCATACTTGCCAAATTTCACATGTGAAGGATGTGAAACAAAATAACTTTTTTAGGTTTTATATATGCATTTTGAAATAACAAAAAATTATAAGTTACTCTACCAATATCACTGTAGTTTATCAGGCTTACTAAAAAAACTGTATTTGGGTCTAAAAAAAATATTGTTTTCCAAACAATATTTTCACTTACCCCTTCCTTCCAAGATTGGAGACAAAAGAAATAATATTGGGAAATTCCCACCTTCAAGAGCCTAATAAAACCATGAGTGGGAAATTCTGAACTTTTCATTGGTTATAAACAGACAACAGAGCGAATTGGGTGTACGTAAGCAAATATTTCCCAAAATGGAAGAGGTGGATGGGGCAACTGTGTTTGATATGCTAAATATAGTGATATCTCAATAAATAGAAAAGATAGGAGGTTCTTATTTTTTCTTCTAGCTTGTCAGTATCAGTAATTTGAAATTCTTATTCGTAAGAAACTATAGATTTTGTATTTGGACATCACAAACATCTAATTTGAACCAAAGCTGCATTCAACATACCACGTGACACACAAAAATCAATATTTAGGAATTTTTGTTTTAAATATTTACATGATCATTTGCATGTGGATATACAGAAGTGGGAGGTGGAAGGCTAGTGTTGAGTTTTGAAAACTTGTGCTGACAGTGGCAATATTAATTGAGAAAAGCTTTTTTGTCAGAGGTGGTAAAATATTGTATCAGAACTTGTTTTTAAAGAAGATTTAATGTTACTTATTACTTTTTGTAGCCACCTATATGTGATTGTTACTTAAAGCAGTACAAGGCAAAGACAATTAACATACTACACAACAAATAATTTTTGAAAGTCTTTCAAGAAGGAAAATATAAATTATCAGAAAATAATACCATATAACTAGTTAACTTTCAGTGAGCTTCACGTTGTACAAAATATTAGTTAAAATACAAGATTTCTATTCAATTTTCACCTCTACAAATAAAACAAGAAAAATGTTTCAGATTAAACTTATGCTTTAGACAAACTTGTTATTACACAAACACAAAAATTTAAGCACATTTTAGACATACATTATAGCTCAAAAATTTTCTTTAAATACAACTGCACAGACTAAAAGAACTGTTCAAGATGCTTAGTTTTACCAAATAGTCTTACATTTTATAATACAATCCTTGTAAATAAATAACATTAAAAAATGTGTTTTTCTAACAACATAGTTACATCCTAGATTCCTTAAGGTTAATAATTACAAATTAAGTAATTTCACTTGACAATTTTCTGACAAATGCAGAAAATAGGAATTTCCTTGATAACTAAAGAAAGTTACAAGGGCTTGGCAAATGAAATCTCATAAATTACTGTTGACAGATTCTGAAATAGCTTGGTGATATTTTAACCAGTAAGTAACCATTTTCTGTTTCATAAGCATATTGTGCTATATATTCTTTACCTCAGTAAGTCTGATAGTAAAATACTTTCTTTGAGAAGCAGCAGCCCAAGGTAACAGAAACACAGTGTTTTTCGTACAGTCATGTACTCCACTTGCTTACCAGCAAACTTTGTCAAATATCTCCGATCTTTCTGAAGAAGTTCTTTAAATACCTAAAATGTATATATATATATATATATATATATACAGATGTTTAAAAACTGCTTATACAGTTACAGTCGGGGTAAAGAATTAACCCTAACAGTTTAGATGCTAATATTATTATTCCTCCAAGCTAGAAGCACTAAATAATATAATGGATACTGTTTAGGTTCTAAAATTTACACAGTTATCTAGATAAAAAACAAAACAACTAAATCAACTAAAAAAAGTTAGTCTTATCTCATTTGTAAAAGTAGCCATACAGCTACAGAAATTGGAGAAACTAAAGTAAATCCTGGTATTAAAATGTTAGTTTATTTTAAGTGCTCTTGATGACAAAAAGGGTAACTGAGTATAATGGGGGTGGATGAAGGATTGTTACACAAGAAAGGGTAACAGAATGTCACATAGGCAATTTCAGGGTAGGAAAAGAAATAACACATGGACAGTTTCTGGTGCAGGAAAAAGAAGTGTGACAAGGACAGCTTTCCGTAGGAGAAAATGAAAAGGCACTTGGTTACATTTAAAAATGAAAAGAAAAAAGTATGAAGATTAAAGAAAAACAAACTGAAGCCTAAACATCAAGCTGGTAAATGATGCATAAATAAAATGTGCCCCAGACTCCAGGAGTTCACTCACTGGTTTTTAATGTCATACCACATGCTGGGATGGCCACTGTGTTTCAAAATGACAGCTGCATCCACTTTGAAATATGACAACTACAAGCCAACCAAACAGCTAACCTGATGTACCCACTCACGTCCAGACAATGAATATGCATATACATTGTAAAACAGTACACCATGCTGAATATTAAAAGTTTCTACTTAAATTATTTGAAAACACTCCTATGTATCTAGACATTCCATATGACAAAACTAGTGGTAAATATTTACATAGTGTTCTGCACAGCACTGCCCCCTATCTTATACTAATAAACTCGGGTGAATCAAGAGAAATTGCTGAGTACCAATGTAACAGAAATTTCTGTATAGACCATGATTTTGCTAACCATACCTTGAATGCCATCTCTAACATACGGGACATAATTTGTGTAGTAATCACCTGATGTGTGATAGGCATGTAAGAAATGGAAGGTAAAGTGGTATAAAATTCAACTCTTGTTTCTTTTAAAAGCAAATAGTTTTAATTTAGCTCCTCAGATTAATTTTTTCCTTCTCTTGTTTTTATTTGAATTATATTCATTCTCTGAATTCTCCAATAATCTCTGATTCATATCTTTCTTCTTGTTATGTGTTGTCATTTCCCAAACTTAGTTCAATTCAACTTTATTTTAATTCTCAGATTTGTATTTTCATTCCCACGTTTGCATTGAAAAAGAGTGTTTGACAGAAAACCTCCATATATTGTTCATACCATAAGTAAGAATTAGAAAAAAAATATGATATGTCTCTATAGATCTTCAAGAAGCAGTATTATGGGGTTTTGGGCTATAGAGCAAAAAATTGGCCAAAATATTTTAAAGTCAAATCTAAAAAATAATATCCAGAATCCTCTTAGTATGTATGCAAAGTTTCAGATCTCTAGGTTCTTTCCTCTTGGAGATATGCCAGTCACACACACACACAAAAGCTCTTTTATTACTGTAGATTGAACTTCTCTTGCACATCTTCTTCACGAAAATTAAGAGTGATGAAAACAGTCTGGCATACATTCAAAATTAGGTATCATTACAGTGAAATTTACTAGCATATACTTTCAAGGAAAGTTTTATATGTATAATTTAATTTCTATTTTGGCTTTTATACAGCATAATAATTTCCAAAGCCAACAAAAATATTTATGTCTTAAATGCCTACAAAATATTTATGTATTTTACACAGAAAGGTACAAATTACAAAACATTCATCACAGTTTTTAATAAGCTTCATACTAATATAACTAGAAAGACTTCCATGTACAAGACATGACAATATACAAGTGATTAAAAAATACCCCAAACACAAAAGATTTCAAAAACACTTGAATTACTTGAAGATAGCTTTTATATACGGAAACATCTGTTAGCTGAGTTCTTGCACAGATCTTAACCACTCTGCCCGATTTTGTCTATGATTGGCTCTGCACAACAATAATTAGCAAAGTGGCTTTTGGAAATTTTAGAACAGGTGTTAACGTACTTGTCAGAAAACTGTATTCAAGACTCCTTTACTTTTGTTATAACCATACAGAACCTTAACCTTGACCCTAAACAATCGTTCTTGTGCTCCTTCGACATCAGCAGCCTGTTTACTAAAGTACCCCTGGAAGAAACCATCAAAATTTGTGCACATATTTTGTACAGTGGAGAAGTTCAGTGCCCTCCAATACCAAAGGACCTGTTTATTGAACTGATGAATACTGTGACACATTCGGTGGAATTCAGCTTTAATGACATCATGTATCAACAGATTGACAGAGTCGCCATGGGTTCTCCTCTTGGACTTGCCTTAGCCAATATTTTCATTGGTTTTCATGAAAAAGAACTACTTAACAAAATTACCAGACCTGTTGTTTACTTCCGCTATGTAGACGACACATTTGCCATTTTTAAAACTGAGCAGGAATGTGAGTGGTTCTTACAAGATCTAAACTCGTTGCACTCGGCTCCCAAATTTACTTTCAAAAAGGAACAACATAACTCTTTACCATTCCTAGACGTCTTAATTGAAAAAGATGACTTTTGTTTTCTCACCAGTATATACAGAAAACCTACTTTTATAGGACAATACATGCAATGGGATTCTTTCAGTCCCAAAATGAACCTTATTGCTACTATAGTCCATCGGGCTCTAGTTATCTGTTCAAAATCTAAACTAGATTTCGAATTG